TGGGATGTGCAAGCGGGTTTTAGAAAGGGAATGGGGTGTACAGATCAAGTTTTTGGCCAAAAACCAGAAAGTTTTTTGTGCGTTCATGGACCTGGAAAAGGCTTATGACAGAGTGGACAGGAATGTGTTATGGCAAACACTGAACTCATATGGGTTGAGCGCTGGTTTGATAAAGGCATTAAGGTCTCTTTATAGGAACTCTAGTGCTTGTGCCAGGATCAATGGGGTCTACTCGGACTGGTTTGGCATCCAAAAAGGTGTCAGACAGGGCTGTGTAGTTTTGACACAGACGTTTGCAAACTTTGAAAGATGAAGAATGTGGGTTAAGAATGGGCGAGTTAACCGTCAAATGCCTTTTGTATGCCGATGATCAAGTCATATTTGCGTCATCGGCGGCTGAGTTGCAAATGATGGTTACATTAATGAACTGGAAATTAAAAGAAAGGGGAATGAAAGTGAACGCAAGTAAGACGAAAGTGATGGTTTTTGAAAGAGAAGAAAGCAAAACGGTATGTGAAATAAGAATAGAAGGAGAGTTAATTGAGCAAGTGGATGAGTTTGTGTATTTGGGATGTGTATTTACCAGGGATGGTAGATATGATAGGGATATAGAACGACGAGTAAATGCAGGGAATAAAATGAATGGGGCACTACACTCTATTATGAAGAACCAGAATGTGTCAAAAAAAGGCACGTATGGTAATTAATAATGCTGTGTTAGTCCCTACTTTAATGTATGGTAATGAAAGCTGGGTGTGGCAGAAAAAGCACGAAAGGAGAATAAATGCTGTAGAAATGCGGTCTTTAAGGAATATGCTAGGGTTGAATCTGAATGACAGGGTGAGAAATTGCGTGATAAGAGATAAATGTGGTATACAAGATGATGTTGTGACCAGGATTAAGAAAGGAATGCTTCGGTGGTTTGGTCATGTAGAAAGAATGAATGAGGAAAGACTGACAAAGCAAATTTATATGGCAGATGTGAATGGCCGAGTTGGGAAGGGACGCCCTAGAAAAAAGTTTATCGACCAAATTGGCGATATTTTGAAAATGGACCACGTTAGAAGTACCCTAACCGACGAGCATGTATGCGTAGATATATGGATGTAAAGGAGGCGAAAGAGGTGTGACAGGATCGTGCCAAATGGAAGTCCGTAGTCTCTGTCTACCCCTCTTTTAAAATGTAATTGATATAAAGTAAAGAAAAGAAAGAAATTCTTAATAATTTTTAAATTTATATTAATCATTTACTGTAGCAACATCTAATATTTGTCGATTTCGCAAAGCGACGGATGCACATAATTTTTAAAAAAACCGTAGAGATTATTGCACCCCGGGAGGTCGTGAGATTAACCATTTTTACCGGAGTAACCTAACCTTACCACGACCCCATAGCATGCCGTGGATGTCGTAAGAGGCGACATAGGAAGACAAAAAATGACAAAAAGTCTAATTGTAAGTTATGATCTTGAAGCTTCAGAAGCTAATATTGTGTTTTGTTTTACTTGATTTTTTTTCGTATGTATTTCCGGTTCAAATGTGTAATCAATTTTTGAAACACTTACTGCTGTTTGATTCAGCCGAAATTTGGTATTTTCGACCACAATGCAATAATATGTTACTATAGATATACATCATGCAAATTTTAATCCATTGACTTTTATGGTTACAAAATTTGAATATTTTATTTAATAGGCCGACAGGCAGTTAGTAGGTTTGTGAAAAAGTAGTAGAAAGTAAAGCATCTCCACTCAATAAGTGAACCGCGGTTTTACGGTAGCTTAGACTGAGGAAAAATTATGGCACGAGTTGCGCGAGTAAACCGTGTTCGATTGCCATTTTATCACTATTGAGTGGTAAAAACCAATCACGAGAAAGTCTGCATGGGAATGTCTGTATATAACAAACATAAAGTATGAGAAATTAAAAAAAAAATACATTAAAGAACATGTGAAGTCTGCCAAAACGAGTTAGTTAGGGCTGCGCAGCGGATTTTTCCTGCCCTAAAACCCTCTCCAAGATAAGGGTTTCCATTAATTACGTGAGGCGATTTAGATGTGAGATATAGCTCGATCCCCTTACCCCCCCAAAACTCAGGTGTGATTTTTCGAAATGTATATTTTTAGGTAAATACGTTACTCTGTGATAGACAGAAATTATACAAAAAAAAATTGCTTAATTAATTTTATATAATTTGTGGAGTTCGTATAACCGCCGCGATAAATATTATCGTTTAAGATTTAGTCATATTTTACTTAGTTTAATCCGATTTTCTCGAAATTTTACTGTTTTTCTACGGAAGAGAATTACGTGATATTTGGCGAGACCCTCCTATTGATGATAGAGATCCCCTGAGATTGGATGAGATTCGGCTCGACCCTCCCAAAAACACTGCACGTAATTGATGGACACCCCTAATAAAAGGCTTGTGGGATATCCTTCTCTTATAGTATAGTGTAGCCCATTAACTACTTTAACTTTACAAGGAAGAGGCAGAAAGGTATGTAACAAATTGATTGTGGAGATGGTATATATCTTGGCAATAATAAAGTAGATAATTTGATTGGCGTATGAACTTGCAATGATGCGGGGACAACGAACCCTGACATGTTACTGATAGGTCTGTTTGCCTTATGAAGTTTTATAGGCGCATAAAGGGGACGCGTGTGTAACAAAGCAGTTGATGAAACAGCGTCATATGTGTAGACAATTTACATAAAACTATTCTCTGCTGCCAGTGTGCAAACGTGATAAAATTGTATTCATAAGTAGTTTATGGATTAAATATGTGAATGTTGCGCAGCCTTTAAGCCATAAGTGGCCGGCATTAGACAATCCAGGGCTAAGAGAGTTGCCTTGTAAACAATTACACATATCGGACTTACTTATAATCGTTCGTTATTTCTTACTTAAATTAATTATTAATTATCTCAAATACCTGTATCTTTCTACTGTCATTTAGTGAGGGAGATCTTAAATGAATATATATCTTGATCAAGGGCATATGGTAATATTTCCCATCTGAATTCTAATGACTGGTTTCGTGTAATTTTTATCAAGTGTGCTCGGGCATTTTTTGTGGAGGAATTATACGTTACTTTTATATCCATTAGACGTTGACATTTGTCCATTAGACATTTTTTTGACTATTTTTAGCATTACACTGCAGCTTTTACCGTTCAGTGTTCAGTTGCGCTGTCAACGTCTAATTTTTAGTTAGTATTTGAAATATGATTACTTCCAGTATCCCACCAAAAATGCCACATTATTTTTTCTTGAATACGATTGGGTTTCTGTTAGGTTTCTTGATTTTGCTTTTATTCAACCAATATTTTTTGCGTATTACGTCACAGTAGAAAACCCACTTTTCGGTCCATTTCTTTGCTGTACGAATTACGAAAGACGAAAGAAATGGTTTAGTTCTAATGCATGGAATATAGGTAGTGTTGCGAGGTCCAATATGTCAAATTTCGGGACGGAAGGTAAAACTAATCGAGCATTTGGTTTTCAAATCGGAAGTCATTGTAGACTGCTAAAAACAGGTCTTTTTTGTAGCTCAAAAAAATCGCAATATACCATAAAACTAAGCACACACGCATTCATATCAAATTAAAACTTGTACGCCCAGACAAAAATCCCTGCATCCCACGCATAAAGTCACTTTATTTAATGAAAACAATAATATAACCGTTTGAAGAAATTGACTTGTGGTAGAAAGTGGTCTACCGCTGAGGAGGCTAGTGAAAAATCGAGACTTTTGGCGACCCATTCAAGGGTGAATTGGGACGTGTCACCAGACCCTTGAAAATCGGGGCGCCTGGCATAAATCGAGACATCTGGTAACACTATGTGAAAGATTGCCGGCCGCCTGGTTCTCCTATGGTAGAAAGAGGGATGGGGAATCGAGGCATGCAATTCGTGTGCACACTACTGAATGCATCCAATAGAACACCGAGAGGCTGGTTACTCTGCGCCTGTGCTCGAGGCTGACAATATTGATTATTTTGACGTATTAATATAATGATGAGAAAATGAACCAAACTTCGGCAATGTATGATATTGTGTTTAGAGACGGATTGAGAGTCGACAAATCGCGCTTCGCTGTCAATTGGGCAGTTGCCATTAAAGTTTTTTAGCTTTCTCTCTAAATTTAGAATAATCTGCTAATATATGTAGCTAGGTACGCTACGTAATTATAGAAAAATTACGCTCTCGGCCCGTGGAATATGGCGGGTAAAAACAATGAGACTAGTTTGTTGGTGTTTGATCTAGCAAATGCTTGTAATGATTTCTTAAATTTACGGGAACACTACACATTTAATAAACCTATTATTTACGGATTTTATCGTGTTTAATTACCACTTTAACTTATTTCTCAGGTCACGAGGGGGGGGGGCCCGTCCCCAGTGGTAATTAAACGCGATAAAATCCGTAAATAATAGTTTTATTCAAAATGCTTGTAACTCGATAAATATTCAAATATACAACTTTCAATACTCATTACGTAAAAGCAGCTCCCGTGCAGGTTCTCATCCATTGTTTTTATCTCAATTTTGACAATTTTCACGATTGTTACAGCGCCATTTGCCGGTTATGTACCATAAGATATTATAGGTTTTGTACGGATATATTTTTAACACGTCACAGAATGAATTTTTCATGCCGTCATAACATAGTTATCAATAAAATATAACAATAAATTCTTATTTATGTAGGTATACAAACAAACTACTCGTTGCTTAGCAAGTGTTCGCTGTTTCCTTTTATCAAATTCCCAGCATGAGATACCTATCATTACGGCCCAGAAATCGATAAAGCTCGTATGACCGGGCCAGGTACCAGATTACCTGAAGTGGGGTAATAGCCTACATCGCAATAGTTTTCATATAACGTTACGGCGCATCGGTGCAATTCAGGTGGTTGCATATTGCAAAATTGATGGGCTCCTGTTGCTTTTCGCATTTGTTCCAATTGTAGTAAGGTACATTTTCGCTCGGCAGGAATCCCTCGGCGGCGGGGTTTACGGTTCGACGGGAGCATCAGGGGCGGAAGGAGGGGAGCGACGCGAGGGGGGAAAGCGCGGGCGAAGACCTGGCAGAAAAGCGCAACTCGATAAACAGGACATGAAGGCTAAACTGGGTAAGTGAATATTTATAGAGATATGACCCCTTTAACAAAATTTTAAGTGTTTTCTAGGATTTCACTACTGTGTTTATGTGGTTATTTCTGGTGCATATATTACACTATGAAGCTTACGTTTATACTGTCTCATTTGCCTATATACGACTTTAACATTAACTTAACATCTTAACAGCTTTTGAATATCCTATACATATTATACATGCATAATATATATATATATATATATATATATATATAATAAAAAAAAAATATATATAAAGTATAACGATTTTCATAAAATTTAATGTCCTGGGAGTTTCGGGGGCAATAAATCGATTTAGCTAGGATTTATTTTTTGAAAATGTCTTTTTTGTCCGTGTTTTCAGGCAATGAAAAACTGCTACAATATAAGAATGTAAATTTTGACTCTGTGTTAATGATCGTAATAGCTCAATTGGATATCGAGCGGTCGCGAAATCGTAATTCCTTGGTTCGGGTCCTCTAAGAAAAAAGAAAAAATAGCTTTTTTCTTTTTTTTCAAGTTCCTTTCTTTTGTGAGAAAATCTATTATTTCGAACCTTTTTTTAGTATTTTTTAAAAATACGAAAATTTTAATCAAACTTATTGCACTCATGATTTTTTATTCAAATAACCAGTTCAGTTTTTTCTATTACGTCAATAAGATCAAAAAATATTATTCATCAGTATGTAATTTGTATCTAAATGTAATTTAAAAAAAAAACCGAGCAAAGCTCGGCCAACCGGGTACTTAATTTTAATCTGCGTAGATCGGACCTCAAATGAATAGAGTTATAGATCTTGACATATAGAACTCAGTTTGTTAATTCTTAACATCGGCTTCAGAAGCTATTATGTGGATTTTATTTTATTCCTTTTAGTTCTTTGAATTAGGGATGCATCCGATACCGATACCGATGCCGATATATCGGCATCGGCGATATTTGTATGGTCGATTCAACGATACTTTTCAAATTTCGCGCTTCAAAAATGTAATGTAAAAAAATTTATTGTCCCGTATATTTCGTTGCAAACGAAACTGTCTATAGTTTTAAACGCTTTTATTTAGTTTGTCCTATTATTTGTTATTTACTTTAATTAAAACAATAACCTGTCTTGTGTTTTATTTTGCCTTCATTTTTGAATTCAATAAGCGTATCGGTATCGGTATCGCCGATGTTTTTATAAGAGCATCGGTATCGGTTTCGTATCGGCAAAAAGGCGTATCGACGCATTCATACTTTGAATTCAGCTTTTTACATTTATTAAAAGTTTAATTACTTGACATACCACGTATTATGAATATTAAAAGCTCGGGGTAAGAACTATATTGTCGTGTAAATACAGTGTAAGCTCTATATAACGGCACTCAAGGGACTGTGCACATTTTGACTTTATAGTGAGTTAAATGTAACGAAGAAATATCTGTATTAGAAAAAGAAAAAAGTTTATATCAGACCAGTGTTAGTGATTACATAAAAACAATTGTTATTTGAACGCCATTGCGTATAATCTGATATACATGTTATGCAACTATAGTTCGGCCGTTCAGAGAATGCGTTCCTGACACCTATCAGTTAGCCACGATTAGTGATGGGCACAACATAACACTGAGTTCGTTACCGTTTCTCCAAAATGAACCGCCGCGTTATTTTTAAGATTATTTTCGTTTTAAATTGGCGGAATCATTTAAAATTTATATTTTAGTAATTTAAGTGGAAACCAAAAAAAGGTAATATTAATATAATAAAATTGTTTTATTTATTCTTTGTTACAAAGTTACAATCTGTATTTCTATGCAATAAAGTACATTTAATTGAATGTGCGTACAGAATATTAATCAGACTCCGATTCGCTTGAGGAGGTGGTGTCTTCATCATCATCTTCGCCTACATGTATAATTATATTATTATCAATAACAGAATCAATCCTGATATCTCGGTCAAAATGTTACACAATCAGGTTGTTGAGAAGACTAAATCTTCTCAACAACCTTTGCCCAGTCATCTCTTGTGACTTCCCCGCAGGCTTCTTTTAATAGGGTCATCATCTTTTTCGTGCTGAATGGCGGGGAAGTATTGTGGCGGGCGGCGTAACCTTTTATTTGAGCCCAGATTAGCTCAATCGCGTTACATTGGTTTTCTGAACCGACCGTACTCCAGAGCCAGTTCATCGATTTCGTATCGCACATTTGCCGCTTTATTTTCTTTAACTAATTTAATTAGCTCTGGTTTTAGCACCTGCATATTTGCGTCAATGCCTTTTGCTTGTAACCAAGCCACCATTTCTTCTTTTTTATTAGCTTGGGTAGGTGGTTTCTGTATTTGAACCGAGTGATAGGAGGCATTATCCATGAATATTACAGAAGGCTCTGGTAGGCTGGGAAAAAGCACGTTCTGGAACCACTCTTTAAATGTAGTGGCATTCATTTCCTCGTGGTAGTCATTTGTGGTTTTTAATTGAAATGCCAGTAACGCGTTCTCCACAAAGCCGTATTTTGCAGAACCTGCGTGGCATATTATCAGACGGGCCCCCCTTACCCATTGGTACTTTCGACGTGATCGACGCTTGTGTTTCATCCCTCCAAGAACGGGAAACCGTGTGATTGGCGTTTAGCCATGTCTCGTCAATGAACACGACATTATCCAAGTTATCAATATTTTTTTTGCTTCTCTCAAAAAACTTATCCGTTTTAAAATTATGTCGTATCGTTCTAATAAAAATTTTCTTTTGTCTGTTTTTTTGTACGAAAAACCAATATCTTTTAAGATAGCATCAACGATCCATCCTGTTGAGATATTCATTTCTGGAATAGTAACCATATATATGATTTGTGATTGCATCGGCGTTAAAGGTGTCAATATCTGTCACGGGTTTAGTTCTACGTTTCTTCTTCGGAGTACGTAAAATATTATCTTCCGTGCCAGTAGAGCCGAACTTTTCTTTATTAATATTTGTTATCGTTCGTTTGCTAACTCCAAGCGCCTGAGAGACGCGTACTTGTTTGACAGGTAACAGGGGTCCGCAATTTTGCCGCCCCCGCTCAAAGTAATCTTGCAGCTTGATGATTAATTCACGGGCTCCACTTTTCAATGTTTGTCCACGTTTAGGCAATATTATGCCCCAAAAGTAAAAAGAACGCAACACAAAACATAATCGAAGTCCAAAATAGCGCCGATGTCAGTTTAAAAAGCAGAAACAGTCCATTAAACGAAAGCCGGGTAATCAAATAAAAACAGATCGAAAACACTTGAAGAACGTGGTCTATGCGCACGAAACGACAACAGACGACTGTTTTAGCGTCACAAAATGGCGGCCCATAACGCCATTTGGGGTTTACCATTTTCAACCTAAATAAAAATGCTACTTTCTTTCGCGCGTTCGGTTTGGTCGTAGTTTTATTTTTATATTTAATAAAAGTTATCTTATAATCCATTATTTTCAAATTCTTAAAAGGAAAAACAAAACGTATTATTTTATAAAGTATAACTGTATAAGAACAGATTACGATACTGTTATTGCCTGTTATTGTTAGCACAGCACTACAAATATAAAGCGCTGACATAACCTTGTAATAGCGCAGTATAGATTTAGAAAAATATTGTTTACCAAGTTATTTGACACTCAGTTTGGCACAAAATTATAACATTCATTGATTATTGGTATAATAATGTTGTTTTAATGCTCATCAATTGTTAAAACGGTAAACAACCAGCAAAAATATTTTTATCGTAACTGCAACGCCATTACAAAGTTACGTCGTCAGTTCAATCGCGACGTGTCAGGAACGCATTCTCTGAACGGCCAAACTATAAGAATATGATAACGTATAGATAATCCATGACTTCTACTGACAACAGTCTACACTTGTAAGCAATCCCAAATTGTAAACAAAACAAAACAACAGATTTCTTTGTTTGGTAAATATGAGGCCGACATTCGAGTTTATAACGGGCTACGATGATAAACCGACAAAAGTACAAAAGAACGTACACAGCTGTGCAGTTTTTACTAATTTTTGCTACTTAAAAAGTACTTTTTTTATTTATGTAATAGATGAAATTATTGAGAGTGGGTGTAATGCTATATAGAGTGTAGCTGAGTTATTTCGACGCTTTAGAGAGTTTGTCGTTAAATCGAGTGATGTTACATGGAGTTCACACTGTAGTTACATTAAATACTTCGGCCCCAGATTTTTCCCCACCTTTAGCTTTAGGGGTTAAATTTATTTATCCAGATTTATATGGGAACCAAACCAGAATTAATTTTTATTTAAACAGGTTAGATAATATACCTAACCTGTTTAAATAAAAATTAATTCTGTGTGGTGGCTTAATAAAAAATGAATCATTTTAAAATCAGTTCACTATTAGAGAAGATACTTATCGTGTGACATACATACAGAAAAAGAATATATAGTCGAATTGGAAACCTTCTCCTTTTTTGAAGTCGGTTACAAAACTCTAACTTACAAACAGTTACTAAATGGGAGGTTACTTTGGGCATACCGAATCGTATACACGGCCACGCTCATTTTTCTCCCATTTCAATTGTATATTCGATTTCTTATTGTAATGATGTACATTTACTTATAAGCCGTTAAATTGTTTTCATGAATAAATTATAATATGATACAACTGTGTGAAATAAACTTGTGGTTGTTAAGTCTTTGGGTACGTAATACTATTATATATTCGCTGCTTTGGATGTTAAATCTGTATGAATGTTGTATGAAGATTTAGCTAAATTGATATACTCACAACTAATAAAGATATTAATAGTTATTTTGCAACCATCCGCTAAATTAAATAAAATGATGTGTCTTCCCTAGTTTGAAGAGCACCTCCCGCCCTCCTTCAATTGCGTGCACTAATCTCGTCATCACCAATGCCAGCAACACTACTCCCAGCACCACTACTCCCAACACCACTACTCCCAACACCAATATTCTAGGAAAGACACACCGAAACCGGATTATTTTGTATCATTAACACTGCATC